CACTCATTGTTATTATTACTATTGGAAGAAGAATAAGATTGGCAAAGTGAAGGAGGAGGAGGAAGGTGGAGAGAGAAGTGGGATTCGTCATTGGTCTTGCTGGTGTTCTTCTTCTTCTTCTTCTTCTTCTTCTTCTTCTTCTTCTTCTTCTTCTTCTTCTTCTTCTTCTTCTTCTTCTTCTTCTCCTTCTTTCTCTCTTCTTTGGTCTCTATCTCTTTGCAAGTGCTTTCATTTCTTTCGCAATTGGGTGGCATTGTCTTTCATTGTGAATTTGCACTGCAATCAGACTCGTCTCATTCACACTATTCATGCATGTGAACAGCAGCACAGCAAACTGGCGACGTGCACCCACTCAGTACTCAGAGATATGGCTTCCAGATAAGAGTTCACTTCCACTGGCTATGGCGACTCAGCGCCCAACAACTCACTGTCCACACACACCGGATCACCCTGGATAYCCCACACGCATCACTCTGAACACTTACACAACAGACACACACACGTCACTCTAAGCTACAGCTATGGCAGCTATGGCTGCCCCTACGCTATCGCTACGCTAAGCTCTCCTGGCCCACTTCGACTTCGGGCACACTGCAGACCTCCTTGCACAAGCCGCTGAGGCAGCGCTTCCGCATGGCTTCCGCAGGAATGAATGAATGGCTGTGCGCGGCCTCTTGATTTATACTTCTGTGGCTTGTCGGCCTGCCCTGTTTCCCTGGCCCACGGTGCACACAGTCCCAGGCGGTACTTGCTTGACTGGACCGGACTGACTGGACTGGGACTGCTGACTCTGCACGGTGGACTTCCACCACTTGCCCACTTGCCTCGACCTACAGTGGGCTGCCTCCGAAAGGCCACTTCTAGAAGTATCTACTTGGCCTTTCGGTGCTGTAGCAGCTACGACCTTGACCCTTTCAGGTAAGTAGCCGCCACGACTTTGACCTTTCGGAAAGTCTACAGCTAAGACCTCTAGACTCTTTAGACTCCTACCCGACAGGTCTACGGTTCGAATCCCCTATACCCTGTAACCTACGATAACCTACCTACCACTGGCAGTCCTACACGTCGCGGGTTCAACTCTACGGGTTGACACACGTACTGTACACAGGTAAGGTGGGGAACTAGGGATCGAGCCCTGGGATCTGCATCAGCTACTGCGAACTGGTGAATACCGTTTCACTCCCGCCGGCCTAAATTCGAGGTCCTCCGAGAATATTTTAGCCCAAGACAGGACCTTTACCCTTTCTATCTCTTTCGTAGGCCTTAACTATGTCGGGAGCTGTTTCCAGAAGTTCAGTTCTGGTGAACCACCGGTCGTCTTCTGGTTCCTGATATGCAAATCTGACTTTATACTGTTTTTGAGGACGACCTCGACCTCCTGTTCTAAACACGTCTTCGCCTACAATGCCGTCAATGTCGTACCTCCCATCCATGTCTGGAGGGATCATGGAACGTCTAGATGGGAACTGATCACTTACGGTGCATGGTAACAACTTTGACGCATGGAAAACTGGGTAGGTGTGGAGGTGTAGTGGAATCTCTATCGAGTAGGACGGACCATCTTCTCCGCCCTTGACTTCTAGAACTGGCCACGGTCCTCTATACGCGGGCAGTAACTTTTGCGAGATGTTATCCTCAGGAGCAAACTCTTTATAGCCTTGACCCAGACTAAGTCGCCTACTTGGAACTGTGACGGGCGACGATGTTTGTTGGCTTGCTCTATCATCCTATGCTGGGCTTTTCTGAGGTTTTCTGTAACAGTAGCTAGTTCTTTCTCGTGCTGTATAGCAAACTCCCTAGTACCGGGCGGTAGCCTATGAATCTGATCCCGGTTAAGTCCTTCAAATGGTCTGCGCGGTCTAAAAGACTTGTGCAGTTCGATGGGAGTGCGGCACGTAGACAAATGCACACTATTGTTGTAAGCACTGGCTACCTTGGGGAGCATCTCATCCCAGTCAATTTGGTCTGGTCTAATGTACATTCTCAAAACTGGCTGCATTATTCATCTGTTCGGTCTGACCGTTAGTCTCGGGATGACGGCCAGATGACATCAGCAACTTAGAGCCGTAGACTCTCATTAACTCCTGCCAGTTCTGACTTGTGAACCGGGTGTCTCTATCACTAGCTATGAACAATGGGACCCCGTGCTCACTGACCCAATGATCAAAAAACTTACGGATCACTAACTCTGTTTGTGCCTCAGAAAGCAAAGGAATGAAAACAGCATACTTGCTAAACCTATCGACTATTGTCATGACTTGGCTCTTGCCATGTCTACTCTTGACGCCCGCGTCCATGAAGTCGATGGACACTGAATCTCCGGGCTGATCAGGAATAGGTAAGGGTCTGAGAAGACCTAGCGGGGCACGCGTAGTAGTCTTATTCCGTTGGCAAACTTTACAACTGTGGACATACTCTATCCAGTCATTCTTCATTCCTGGCCATGTGTACGCGTGCATTAGATTGGCTAAAGTCTTTTGCCAACCAAAATGACCCTCTGTGTCGTGACATTCTCCTAAGATTAAACTACGAACCTCCTCACTGTTGGGAATGCACAAACGGTCAACTATGTTAGTCTTCTCAAATAACAGTCCGTCAGTAGTGCGGTAATCTGGCTCGGTCTCTGGAGCCTCCTTTACTCTCTTGAGGAGATCACTATAAATAGGGTTCTGCGCATATGCTTCTTTAACTTTTTCCTGGAGGTCTCTCCCTATGTCCAGATAGTGAACTATCGCTCCAAAGTAGTCAGCTCTCCTACTCAGAGCGTCCGCAACTATATTATATTTACCCTTGACTGGCTTGAGCTCAAAATCATACTAGTCTATTTCTGTGGCCCACCTAGTAAGCTTAGGTGTCATCTTGGCCTGCGTCTTTAACCATCGCAACATTTCGTGGTCAGAATAGAATTTGAAATGCCTCCCAAGCAAGTAGTGCTTCCAATGGTCTAACGCTTGCCTGAGAGCGTAGAGTTCCCTCTCATAGGTAGATGTCGCAACCTTCTCTGAAGGCATCCTAGTAGACATGAACTCTATGGGCCTATAACCATTGCCATAGTCTTGCTGCAGAACGGCACCTCTGTCGTACTCGCTTGCATCCGTAGTGACGACAAAGGGTAAGGACGGGTCGGCCACCTTAGGACTGGATACCCTATCAATGCCTGCTTCAACTTCTTCATAGCAGACGTGCAGTCCTTGTCCCACTTCCAGATGGTCTTTTTTCCTTAGCAGTCTGCGAAGGGGCGCAGCGAGAGTGGAGAAGTTCCTTACGAACTTCCTATAATAATTTGCTAGGCCTAAGAACGACCGCAATTCTGTTAACGTACGCGGTGTTGGCCAATCCCTAATCGCTGCAATCTTACTATCTTCTGGCTTAATGTCGTCTCCGTCTAAGACGTGGCCCAAATACAACACTTGGGTCTTAGCCCATTCGCACTTCTTTGCGTTGATCTTGAAGTTAGCTTCCCTCAGCTTCTCCAAGACTTGCTTGAGATGACCCTGATGATCTTGGAGGGTCTTACTAAACACTAGGATATCATCCAAGTAAACTACAACAAACCTATCTAACCACGGCTTAAACAAATCATTCATACATCGCTGAAAAGTCGTTGGCGCGTTGGTTAGTCCAAAGGGCATCACGATGAACTCGTAGTGCCCGTATCTAGTCCGGAAAGTTGTCTTGTACTGATCATCAGGATGAACCTCTATCTAATGATACCCGAACTTCAAGTCTATCTTCGAAAAATATCTACACCCCTGCACCCGATCTAAAAGATCGTCTATCCTGGGCAGTGGCTCAGCATTCTTAACTGTGATAGCGTTCAGACCCCTATAGTCTATACACAGTCTGAGCTCTCCCTCCTTCTTGGGGACAAACAGAACAGGTGCTCCAAATGGAGACGAAGTGGGCCTAAGCCAACCCTTTCTCTAGGAGCTTATCTAGCTGCTTGCGCAGCTCCTCCAACTCTCGCGGGGACATCCGATACACGGCTCCCTTGGGGGTCCTACTGCCAGGCTCAATCTCAATACGATGCTGGATTGGCCGCGGTACTACTCCTATCGGCGGCTTCACTAAGTCTGTGAATTCTCCCAGCAGTTTGGCAATAGCAGGGTTTATAGGCTTCTCTTCCTTAGGCTCAATGACTGGCCTAACATAGGCTACAAAAACCTGTTCCTATAGCTGCTCCTTCTTTACTAGTCTTGCAAACGCAGGAGCGCTAAGGCAGCAATGCGCCAGGGAGTTATCTACTCCTGACACATGGAACAGATGGGCAGTCTTGACACCGCCTGACGGACTAGGGAGCCTACACTCGTGCTCTCTCGAGTGGAGTGTGGCCCCTGCTGCCTCTCCCCAGTCCATACCTAGGACTATGTCGAACGGGAGGCTATCCTCTATGAGGAGAGTTAGGAAATGGAGAACTTTCTTCACCTTCCCATCTTGCTCTAGGCGGAAATATGTGTGGATTCCCTCTACATACTCTTCTACTCGCATGGTGCGATTGTCCGCGAGGATACTTACTATGGGGTCTGCTAGTCGTTGGACTTTCAACTGCAACTTCAGCTTCTGCAGTGCCTTCCTACTAATATAACTGCGAGTGGCTCCACTATCCACTAAGGTGCCAACTCGTCCTCTAAAGATCTCTGTATCTACTAGTATAAGTTGCCCCCTATTCTCTTTCCTCATCTTCGCCCAGGCGGGCATTCTCTCCTTCAATTCCTCTGCCACGCCTGTGAGGGAAGTGCCTAGAGAGACTCTAACACATGCAGTCTCTGGGAAGCTATCTAGGCACCGGCCTGCAACTTTTGCCATGGGCTCATGTGGTTTGGGAGATTCGTGCCGGCTTGCTGACTCATCTCCACATGGCCCTATGGTAGAGGCAGTTGCTACCCCTACCGGCGGCTGCCTTTTGCTTCCTGTGCAGCCCAACGAGCCTCCCTATACTTCAGACAGTATTTAATGATGTGGCCAGGGTCACCGCAATAGATGCACTGCCCCTGGCTCACACGCTGTTGCCATATGCGCTGGTCCAGGCCCAGATCTTCCCAAGGCCTGCCTTGTGGCAGCCCTGGGTGCCAACCACTTCTCCTATAAGGGGACCTATTCCCAAACCGGTTTTGCGGGGGACCTTGACCCCTTCCTCCTGCTTGGCGATTTCCTCCTCTGCCGCCAACCCCCTGATCGCCCTGAGAACGGTTCCCTGAGGCCCGGCCCCCTTGGCCCTGGCCTCGTCCTCCTTCTTGCGGCCTCCCTCCGGCCGCGACAGTAGCGTAAGTTCTCCCTTGACTCGCGCTGCTGTCCACGTCCTCTAGCCCCCACTCTATCTGGTCGTATGGGACCTCGTCGACACTACCCTCGTCTAAAGCAAGGATCAGGCTATCCTTTGTCTTCACTTGCCCTGAGATAGTGCGACCTTTCCACTTTTTCCCCCTATCCAAGTCTTTGTGCCAGAAAGTGGAAACTGACGCAGACTTTGCTTCAAATGCCACCACTTCCCTGCTCAACGCGTCGTAGGTCATGGTGGGTTGCTGGCTCTTCTCAAAGAAGTGCCCACGCAACGACTCAGGCATAGCCCGGTAGAAGAGGTCAACCAATTGGGTCTCTGTGACCCCATGGTCAGGAGTAGCCACTAACTCATCCATTACTCCCTTGAGTGCCTTGGCACTCCTCCACTTACGAGAGTGAATGGTTTGCAATCGATCAAAGGCCCTGACGCTGCGCGAAACATCTGCAACTCGTTCGCGCAGCAACTTCAGAAAATCAGCGAGGGGGGTGAAAGCAGAGTAGGCAACCACGTCGTCGCTGCAATTAGCAGCGCGAACTAAGGAGCGTGCAAAACTGGCGGCTTCTTCTTTCAGCGCATGGATAGCGATGAGGACCTGCTCATCGGGAGACACCTTCTGCACGTGCACGTACGTCTTAACGTTAGCCTCCCAATTATCAAAGTTCTCTTCCTTTTCCCCACTGCAGGAATCAGGAAATTTGACTTTGACTGGCTCCCTGCGCGGACATGCTTCCTCTTCCTTGGGGGCTGCCAGTTTAACGCCTTCAATGGCGCCGACACAGAAGCGTTCTGTTTTCTCGAGGCGATGCTTCACCTCAGCTCCTACAGCGCCTACCAACTCGCGGGCGAAGTCCCGAAATCCCATCTGCATCGAGCACACGACCATATCCTGACTCCGACTAAACGCGTACTGTTCCTCCTGAACTCGCGCCAAACGCTCAACGTTTTGGGCGATGATCTCCACCTTTCGTTGGAGATCCACCTGGGCGGTCAACTGTTCTTTCATGTTCTTTACCGCTTCTAATTCTTTGGCCGCCTCACTCGCCGCGTCCACTCTCCTCTTCTTTTCCCTCATCATTCTAAGCTTCCACTCCATCCTCGTCTCATCTTCCATCGTCTGCCGCTTCAGAGGGTCTTCTTCTACATCCCATGCTTTAATGGCGGCTTCTTGCTCGTCCTTGGGGATATACATTGCAACCTCCTCCTCTTCTCCCAAAGACAAGTTGGCAACCCATTCCGAGATCCTCTTTTCCATTTCATCCTCCCTGACTTCACTGGTCTGCCCCCGTTGCCACCTCCTCCTTTCCAGTGGCTGATCATCTTCTTCCTCCTCTTCTACCTCCTTCAGTTTCGCCTCCTCCTCTTTCTTCAACCTTTCCTTTTCTCTGGCCATCTCCTCCTCTATCTTCTTCAGTTTCGCCGCCTGCTCCTCCATCAAGGCCCTTCTCTTGGCCTCTTTCTTCTCTTTTCTCTCCTTCAATATGGCGGTCATCTTCTCATCCTCTTCCTTCGTATAGGGGTTAGTTGTCCCGCCACCCCGGGTCTCTACTCTACACGTGAACGTGTGCCAGAACCCTAGGGGAAACAGGAGACGCCAGAGGGTCCCCCAAAGGGAGAACCCCACAAGTAACCCATGCGTGGGGTTGTCGTCCATGGTGTTCAGGTGCACGGCGATGCCCCACTCCTCACCACGTAGACCTACCCAAACCACTGACTGACTGACTCTCTAAGGACCACAGGGTTCGTATAGAACCCTGTCAGCTATGGTCACTAGCCTAGACCTACACTATGGCTGTCACTACTGACCCAGTGGCTGATCAGGAGGCATTTAAGGAGATCCCCCGTAACTCCACAAGAATTCTTTAACGTCGCAGTCAGGACGACGTGATCAGCTTGGTTCTTACCTGTCGCACCGCCCACAGCTCAGCTTTTCAGGCCTACCGTGCCACACCGAGCAGCCCGCCGGTCTGTACCGGTCCTTGGGAGGGTTCGTATCCCCCAGGACAGTCGAGTCGTCAAACACAGTCTTTAGCCTTACTTAGTCTGACAGGGGTTCGGGTCAACAAGGCCCTCAATACTTAAGACTGCCTGTTGTTTCAGCCCACAACTCAGTCTTTCAGGCCCACTGTACCATACCAACCGTGTCCAGTCGGTCAGCACCAGTCCTTGGGAGGGTTATGCCCCCCTGGACAGTTGGATCTGCCACAGTCTCAGCCCTACTAGATCGGGGAGTGGTCAACCAGGCCTATCCTTCATCCATAGAATACTATCACTTAGGACAGAAGAGACTCGATGCAGAAAGGAGAGACAGACAGACTCTGACTTAGAAGGTACCGCAGGGTGAGTGCACATCCACAGAGCAAGGCGGTAGGCTAGGGCTTGGCGAGATATTACCAACTCCAGGTTGGTCAAAGTCTTGGTCAAAGTCTTGGTCAACGACGCCGGTCAACTCCTCGGTCAATGCTTGGTCAACGCGATAAGACCCCGGTCAACACCACGGTCAACCTTCCGGTCAACGTCCGGTCAACCCTCCGGTCAACTCTCCACCTCGGCTATGGCTACCGGCACCTTCCTCTTC